AGAGAGAGAGAGAGAGAGAGAGAGAGAGAGAGAGAGAGAGAGAGAGAGACATAATCTAGCTCAAGTCAGAGTTTATTCTGTACCTTCTAGCCCTGACCCTACAAAAGCAGGCTTTAGGGAGGCACAGCTGCTTCTCACGGTGTTCAGGCTCTGCTTGCCTCCAATTCCAACCCCAGAGAGGCGAAGGCCTCTGTTTGCTCCCACCCAGGCTCTCTCCAGCATCCTTGCCTCCCAGCTGGCCTCCCCCATGCCTGCTGACCATACTTCTCTGGTGATTTATGCCTTGGATGGAACAGCAAGGGCAGATCAAATGCAAAGCCAGCCACAGCCAGGGAAGGGTGGGGAGGCCACAGAAGCCAGGGCAGCCAGGCTCTGTTTAGTTTTGCGGGAGTTTCTGTTTCTAAGTGACATTTAAAAATAACTGATGTAAAAGTAATGCGTTCCTTAGCAAAACTGGAGCAAAGAAAGGAAAGCACAGATAAGATAAAGTCACTGTTGATTTCCCTACCTCAGGCTCTGCCTCCTCTTTCATATAAAGGAAGCTGGTTTCTAAGCTTGAATTGTACTGCAACTCCTGAGTTTTTAAAATGCCCAATCCTATGTGTAAAGTTAAAAGAGTAGAAGAGAAAGCCTTCCTCTACCAGTGAGGCTCACCACCAAAAAAAAAAAAACAAAAAACTGGCCTGGATTCTTCCACATCTATTCCTATTCAAATATACAGGCAAATAGAGCTGGAAGCCCCACCCCGAGAACACGCTAAGATAGGAGAGGAGTCATTTCCTGGACTCTGCCAGTCTTTTTATAAAAACTGCCTCAGGGCTGGAGAGCTGGCTCGGCTCTTGTGAAGAACACTTGTAGCTCTTACAGAGGACCCAGGTTCAGTTCCCAGTGCCCACGTGGTAGTTTGCATCCATCGAAAACTCCAGGTCCAGGAGACCCAACCCTGTCTCCTGACCTCCACAGGCAACAGGCATGCCCATGGTGAATACAGTCAAGACACATAAATTATCTTTTAAAAAGTTTAAAAACTGTGTCTTACTATGTAGCCATGTAGCCCAGGCTGGTCTTGAACTAGCAATCCTCATGCTTCAGACTTTTTACTTATTATTTATTTGTATGTATTTAGGCATTTTCTACATAGTGAGACACCATTTTTAAACTTTTGTTTTTCAATATATTTTGTACTTTTTATGCCTGCATGTATGTCTGAGTACCACCATGCTGCCTGGTGCCAGCAGAGGATGTCAGATCCTCTGGGACTGCAGGGACAGTTGTTAGCCACCAGGTGGGTGCTGGGAAAATAAACCTGGATCCCGCAGAGGAGCAGCCAGTGTTCTTAATGGCTAAGCCATCTCCTCAGCCCCCCCATTTCAATTCATTCTTGC